TCAGGGTCACTGGGTTAATGGTCAAGGTCATTTGGGTCCAAAGGTCAAAGACAAAGTGGATCTCTGACTTTGACCCTGGCTCTTGATGGAGGAGGTATATAAGGTTAAATAAAACAAATCAAAGCTAACAAATGAGTATTGCACCGGTATTTACATTTCTGTTAGCCCAGCAAATATGGAGGTGGAAGGAAACAAGACTCACATCATAGTACATGTAAAATGTATATTTTGCTTCCTTGCGATTCTTTTTTAAGTCCACATATCAAACGTCAAGCTCAGCTTTATGGGCAGATTGCTTCTTGATGATTATTGGAGATATATTGCCACAAGACGGGTGCCATTACTGACCTGTCAGTGTTCTAGTTTAATACGTGATGTGTCATAAACGCTTTTAAACGTGGTTTTATTTCTATAATAGGAGAGCTTAATGAATTCACAATAATACTTTGAACGTGCTTTGAATTCAAGGTGCGTGGTTAAGCAATAAAATACAAATGATTATTTGAAGATTCACCTGACCGATATTAATTCAGATCGGGTTATGTTGTAATAAGCGACGCAGATTTGTGTTTGTGAATTTAACTTGTTTTCGATTATCTGTATAGCTTTTTGGAATTCAATTTCTTGAACTAAAGGGGATTTTACAAATTATTCCCTCGATATTCTAATGTTATCCAAACGACTCTCTTTTACAGGTTGGAAATTAAATTTGATTGAGTGAATAATGCTTGCTTTATATTAAGCCTACCTGTCTCTGATCGATTTGCTTCCGTTTCCTTCTTTTTGAATCTTCCTCCTCAAAACTATGTAACAGTTTCAAGTAAAATTAAATGCAGAACCAATGAAATTGATTTCGTTTTATTTTTGTTTTTACTTTAATAATTTAATCAGTTTAATAATGGCAAATGTAAGAATTTATATTTTTTTTCTGCAAGTGAAATTCAGAATTCTGTCAACTTGATCAAGACGATATCTTTCATACTGTGACGGACTTCGAAAGGGATATTCTTCTACTGTGAAAGTATTGGTTTGGAAATTGACAAATCATAATGGCACTTCTTAACAGATGCAGATGACTCGACGGTAGAATAAGTTCTTGTTATGGTTTATCTTTGATTCGAATCAAACCATTCACCAATCCTACCACAAAATAGCAGAAAAAACTGAGGAATTTGTTGATAAGCTCAATCAAAATGACACACAGCCTTGTTGTCAGGTTTGATGTCAATAGAATAAGCATTACGCCAAACTGACTCTATGGTATCTCTAGCTGAACTTTTGACGTTGTAGGTAGGTTTAATATGTATTCAATAAACAAAAAATTATGGTTTACTGTTAGATATCATATTTATGTCACTAGTGTGGCAGAGTATTCCGATATTTTCACTCGTGCTACGCTCTCGTGAAAAATTCCGCCATACATAAAACAGATATGAAATTCAAAAGTAAACTATAAAACAAGGGGAAACCATTCAATATCCTTTATAGAGAATATACAGGTGTTGAATCGCATACCAGTGGTATGTAGTTTGCATTTTGGACCTCATAAAATAAGAGTGGCTTGGTTCTCGGTAAGTACGATTTTTTAATTCAAATTCACGATTTATTATTCAATATACATAGAAATGTTTATCTTAAACTTTCCTATTTGCAGTCTCTGGGTATTACGGGAGCAGACAGCCCAATCCCCGACTACAAATGGAAACTAATCACTGCAATTGCTGGTATTTACGTTTTCTTTCTGGTGGAACGATGCATCAACTGGCGAGCAAAAAACAAGAAAAAGGTGAGTCGTCACTCACTCAACAAGGTATTGCTTCAGCTTCTGTTTCGTACTCGTTCTCCGTCACATATCAATACTGTCGCTGTGTGGCCTACAACGTGAAATAAACAAAATTATAATAGCAATAGACAAACAAAATAAAATCAACCAACAAACACAAAAATCTGAAAAAAATCAATAATTTAAATTAATAAGTTTCATAATATTTGTTTATGCTTTATACTCAACCACAAATAAATACCGAAACTGTGTATGACCTACCGCATGAAAACATGAAAAAGAAATAATAGAAAGTGATTATAAAAATTCAATAAACAAACTGGTAATTCAACATATAAATCAATAACGTATAACATTCGTTTCAAAATCAGCTCATGTAAGTGTAAAATCGTTATACCGCCACCTATTATTTAAAAACATGCAGTCGTTGTAAGGAGGTTAAGCCATAAATAAATAGATTGTTACTGAGAAGTGCTTATATCGACCTCTGTATATTAAACAAATTAAAATGTGTTTCATGTAATTATTTTGTTGATATTTCACTCATATATTTATTTTTAGAGTAAAGATATTGACTTATCAGAAGGCGAGTCATTACAGAAAAACGATGTCCATGGCCACTCACACGGGGCTAAAGGTGAAGTGGCCACTGTGGCATGGACACTCCTCCTTGGTGACGCTTTACACAACATTTCGGACGGCCTCGCTATGGGAGCTGCTTACACGGAGAATGTGGCTTTGGGAGTCAGTGTATCGCTAGCTATCCTCACTGAGGAACTGCCGCACGAGCTGGGTACGTACACGTAAATAATTCCTGCGGGTTTTGCGTTGATACAGTATCCTCCCTTGCGTTTCGGTTTGGATACAACTAGCGAGTTTTTTGCCGGAACACCTCCGCTGACCAGATAGCTCAATTGGTTAGAAATCCATTTAAAGTTCATTGTTCCTGGTGACGCTGATATTTTTAAAATCATGGCACGATTGTTGAATTTTTTTGTTTGTTAATTTCGTCTTAATTTTTCAAAAACGATTTATCAAAGTTTGAGTCATGCCGTAAAAATCAGTTTCCTATTCATACTTACATTTTAGGCAGTGTTTTTTTTAGATCCTTTTCTATAGGGTAGCATAAGATGAGGAATCCGACTCAATTTGTACCATCTTATTTATATTATCTAACTGCATATTGGAAAATTGAAACCCCAGGGACGGGTTACCAACATGTCAACATTGTTTATTAGTTTAAGGTAAAATTCACAAAAGATAAACTTGGCAATCTTAAAGTATTAGATATAGTTACAACATTTGAAAGAAAATAAACTTATTTAGGAAAGGAATGGTGACTATCGATTTTTAAGATACATCTAAGTAATATACTTGTACTACTGCTTTAACCCGTTACTACGCACTGTACACTCTTTTTTCTGACAAGACATTAGCTTAGATAAATCATTTCTGAAAAGAAAAACATACCTTGCGAAACCCTTTATGAGAAATAAGAAATAAGAAATAAAATATAATCTACGGAAGCGGAATCAGACCTGGTTTCGAACTGATTGTTTTACTATCGCTCTAATAGACTGAGCTACCTGGTAAACGGAAATGGCCTGGTCCAACTGTGCTGTATTCATATCCGAAGAAAAACATAAAGGGGAGGTTACTTTATATAACAAAAACCACAGTTAAATGGGAAAGGAATCCTTAATTTATATCGGTGAAAAGTTTGTATTACATGTGAGTAATAAAGACATTGTTAAGTGTTTCGTGATAGAGACCGAAAGATTGTAAAGTACAAAGTGCTCCAAAAACTCCATATCCCCTTCTGAGGATTTCTCACACGAACCAGGCTGTGTATGACCAAATGAGTCACACATTTTGCATTTCCAACTTTGGGCCCCATGAAAAAATCTGATTTCAAAATATCCTTAAACGTAATCTTTCTAAGTAGACAGAAACAGACACTATGTTTTATATTTTTGTTTTATTAAACATGAAATAGACGAAAGTAGGCACTATATTTTGTATATTTGTATTAAAAGGATTGCCTTCAAATAAACGAACACTCATTTTTCCATGATTTTTTTTCCAAATATACATGTATTTGTAATAAAAAAAAGAAATTTTCCAAATAAACAAGGAAAGGCACTTTATTTATGTACATGTATTTGTATTAAGAGGAAATTTTTCATTTAGACAGAAACAGACATAATAATTTATTCTACATAAAACAACTATAAAATGTCAACATAAAAATCGATAAAACTTCGGTAAAACATGAACAAAGGAAATATTTAGATGGAACCCTTTTAAAAAGTACGAGGAGAAGAAGACCAGGTGTTCCTGAAAAATAGACGTCTTTTGATTCTACGATGACATCCGCAATGTCAATCTAAGTCAAATAAACTAATATCACGTCCTCAAATCATCGAGATCTCGGTAAGTGACCACAAAATCACAAGACACACTAATGAGAAGAATCATAATACATCTTTTTATTTGTTTTTGCCATGTGATAAATGTATAATATATATATTCAACAGGTGATATAGCCATTCTCTTGCATTCTGGAATGACAATCAAACGAGCTTTATTCCTCAACTTTCTGGCTGCTGTGACGATATACATGGGCCTCATAATAGGGGTCGTCGTTGGAGAGAACACGGACGCAAACACATACATTTTTGCCTTTGCTGGGGGCCTCTTTGTTTATATAGCCCTTGCTGATATGGTAAGTAACAGAGATGTTATCATACCTTGTGTTCAACGTAGAGAAATCCCCAACGCATTTTTCTAATTGATGCAAGCATTGAACAAAATATATTCCTGTTTAATTAATTTTTCCATCTATATCAATGCAAAGAAACGAAAGGGCGCTGAAAACCCCTTCCTGTCTATAATTAAGAGGTTTGAAGCGCCGAAGCGGATAAGGGCGATTTTTTAATCGTTAATTTAATACATTTTTGTTTGGTTTGTGTTTTCTTTTCTTAGAGAAATTATGATAAATATTTGCATTGTAAATAACTCCTCGCAAATTAAGTGGGCAAGTAACGTCAAATCAGAAAAAATGCCAAAATTGAAACTCTGTTTAACACATTGCGCTTGGACTCTTAACCTTTACTCAATAAATAATAATGACCGATCCTGATTTCCCTGTAAACATATATCTGTTAGTACATTTACTTACCACGGCAATGAAATATTGTTTTTATTTTTTGTAGATTCCAGAAATGAATAACCAGGCCAATCAAGCAGAAAACATAGGACAGGACAGTACTCGCGTCGTGTTTGTCCTACAGAATCTTGGCCTTCTCATTGGGTTCGCCATAGTCATTCTGATAACAGTGTTTGGTGGTAATATTGCTGTATAAAATAACCAGAATGTCCACAAACTGAAAACGAGGCTTACAAGTTTCGACGTGTTAAAATTGTGTTAATGTATATTATATTTTACATGCGCGTGACCATCAAACCAAATCGTTACAGATTTTGTTGATATATTTTTACACTTTTTCTGTAATGTTGAATAACAGCAACTCCTGAATATATTAGCAGCAGGTCTACACATAGTAACATATTACGCTAATACCTCATCGTTATAGCCATGGTAGCAAAAACGAACAACAAACGGTATGAAAATATAAGAAATGTGAATGAGAGAGGAATGAAAAAGGAATATATATATATTGAGCGCTTCATATTTTACTATTTGATATAAATGCTTGCGTTTATCTCCTCATCTTCAATACAGTATACTGGAATAGACTTAGACGTTGTATAGAGCTGAAGGGGGGAGGGAACAATGTCATTCCTAACTGTATTAATAGCATTTGGATATATGAATACACTAGGCTGTGCCTACATATTGTCTCTATCGTCACGACAATAAAACGTGTCTCATCACCAAGCGGGTTTCGAAGCATTACAAATTTAAAGATCGTTGGCGGGAATTTATGTGGTACCCCCACCACATAATAGGGGATTTTCGAATGTGTCTTCTTAACGGGATCAAAGAAGAAATTAAAGTTGAGCTGCTGCCACAGTTGCGTCTTTTGGAACTTTTGTCTTTTCTTCTCTTACTTACTCCTTCCTTTCAGCAGTTCTTCCCTAGGTACATGTATTTGTAGTATCTGCCAGTCACTTCTGTCTTTAAGTGATGTCTCCTTTTTCCCGTGTGCCCCTCTGTCCCGTCTTTCTCCCCGCCGGTTTGACTACCTAATAGTTTCACCTCGTCGACATCTTCCCTGAAACTCTGTCGAAACCTGCTTCAGCTGCATACAAGTGATATATTGCTTATCAACGGTTCACTTCTTTCGAGTACAAATCCTCAACGTCAAAACGTCTTGGAACATTAGCGCTCTGATGACTTTTTCCTGCACGTGCTTTAACTCAAAAACGTTGTCCTCCACTAAATATTCCAAACACGTCTTGTCCCTGTGTGCACGTGTTGCTCCCTTCTAATTCCCGACTCTGGACTCCACTCTACAGTTTTTATGTTTGAATAACAATTTACAGAGACACTGCTATATCTTTAACGTCCAAATACTAAAGGTAACTTCAAACTTCGCTTTGAAGTTACACCACGTAACATATCGACATCATTTCAAACACTTTAATGGGGTGTAACTTCATGTAAACCCAAAGATTGGGTTATTTATAAGTACCTGACGATTCACAGGCATAGTTGCTAATGTATTTACGAAAAGATGATACTAAAAGGGATCGATGCAGTTTTAGGAAGCTATTGAAATACCTATTTATTGTTTAAGATAGCATAATACAAAATGTCATCACAATCATGCTGTAACTGTAACCAAACCATTGAATATACAAACAAGTCGTTGTTAATGTTACATATACCTTAGGCTAATTGTCTGTTAGTGATATCTCCATAGCATTTCTGTCTTTCGGTCAAGGAACAAAACTCATAACTTTTCTCGACTTGCCGCACGGTAGATACTTAAGCCAAAAGCGATATTTTGTCATTTAAGGCCAACAAGATATGTTCGAAAGAAGAAAACAAAGGATCCCAATACCTAAAAAGCAAATCCCCGATTCTGCAGAGGGTGCTCACATTAGTCGCCTCTTACAAATCACGCAGTGGAAAACAGCGTATGTATTATTTTCTGAATCATCCACAAGCATGGGAAAAATGAAAAAGTGGGGAGTGGTGTAAAAGATGTGTATTGTACATGGTGTCGTGGGGATTCGTCAGCTCAGTGGTAAAGCGTGGGAGAAGAAGATATACGGTCGCTGGTTCGATCCCCAGCGGAAGCACGTTCACTTCGCATCAGACCTATTACACTTCCAATATGATGCATTAGGGAGTATTTAAATTCTTGGAAAGATTGAGATCTTTAAATAACGCGATAATTATTTACATGAGTAAAGCCGTCTGTTTTCGTGAGTTGTAGAGGTAAAGTATGTTTTATGATCGAATTCCGGAGAGCTTTATTATATGTTTGCCATATTAGAAATAACAGGAACACGTGTAATAATGAGGGCAGCTTGAGTTATTTTTAACGCGTACCATAAAAATCCACTTTTCTTCATTCCGGATTTTATATTTGTTTCCGGGAGTTGTCTGGTTGTTTTGTTAGTTGTGTACACTAGTATATTTCGTTCCGGATGTTATATTTTCCGGAAGTCCCGATTTTATATTTACCGGAAGTTGTCTGGTTGGTTTGGTTAGTGCTGTACTGCAGTAGTACATGTACATATCACGGACTTAGATAACTAATCTAATTACGTGTACATATATATTGAACAAAATTCTTTGTTGATATAGATAACAAAGCAATCTGTATGAATGAAATACAGCTTTATAAATAGGAAATTAATTTTTGGTATATCTGCCGCGAAAATAGGTGTTTGAAAAAAGGCAACTAGCTACTCGTCATTTACCCGAACCTGGCGCCAATATTACGTCCAGTAAAGTACCTGTTCAATTGTTTTGTTTATTTTATTTACTAACGGTCTATTAATATGCGCGCCATAAACATGTTAAACATGCCAAAACATATAATCATTATCCAGATTATTGTCGTGTTTTTGTTTTGTTTTATTTTACACAGAGGGCATTTTGAGAAAGCGACTCGATCGATCGTAGCACTTGGGCTGTTCGTAATCCTCGTTAAACAAATAAAGAATTGAATTAAGCAGAGAACCTATTGAAGATTGGTCAGATCCAAATAGTGTTTGTCCTTTTATAATAAAGTCGATATTTGCATCATCAATTCATTCTAAACAGGGTGCAGACATAACATTATTTCGCGCAAAAGTGCGTTTGATGATTATTTCTGCAACCCTGTCCGGAATTATGGGACCATTAGTCAAATACTTGTTTTTATATTTTTTGATAGATTTTATAATCGCTTGATACTTTAAAATGAACATCGTTTTATAGCTTTTCAAGTATGATGTATGATTACTACGTCACTAATGTGATGACGTCACGATCATCATGGCAGTTATGATCTCATACAAATAACTCACATAGCTTTGATATGTTTGAAGTACATATGACTCAATAAAGAGTTTACAGAAAAATGTAAAAACAACAACCATGCTCGGTAATCATAGGATTAGATCACTGCATTTATAAATATAGCAAGATCATTCGTATTTACAACTTCCACGCTTTCTAAAATTCAAATTACCCCAAGATACGTCCGATCCCAGTTTCTTGAAATTCCCTTACCTAGGAAACTATTTAACTGAGGTTAGTGTTCTGTACCTTTCTATGTGATGTATTGTAAGGATCCCCGTACCACTGTAAAAAGATATATGAAAACCAAGCCTTTGGGGTGTTTGTTAAAAAAATAATAATGTTCGTGTAATGAACAAAATATCATCCGCAACAGTGTTCTGAGTGAATCGGGTTAGATTATGATTCGAACCCAAGACCACAACTTGTTATCCATTCGCCAAACCAACTTAGCTACATGTACCTAGTCAACGAGCGTGTCCTGGCCCATTTGCGTTAGAGCTATAACCAAAACGACATTAAGGGGAAGTTACGGTGTAAAGCAAAACTAGTGGACTCTCTAGTGTTGTTCATAGACTACAGTGAAGTATGGATCCTTTTATTGATGTATCTATGCAAGTTTATCAAAACTGATATTCTATTATTAGAGTTTATTTATTTTTGCAATTTGATTAAAACGACTTATTTGCGGATATGCAAGCATATATTGGTATAATACAATGTTAAGCTGGTGTAATACTATGTGATATTGGTGTAATGCAATGCTATACTGGTATAATTTTATGTGATACTGGTGTAATGCAATGCTGTATTGGTTAACACTATGTGATATTGGTGTAATGCAATGCAGTACTGGTGTAATACTATGTAAAACTAGTGTAATACAATGCTATACTGGTGTAATACTATGTGATAATGGTGTAATGCAATGCTATATTGGTGTAACACTATGTGATACTGGTGAAATGCAATGCTATATTGGTGTAACACTATGTGATACTGGTGAAATGCAATGCTATATTGGTGTAACACTATGTGATACTGGTGTAATACATTGTTATACTGGTGTAATACATTGTTATACTAGTGTAATACACTGTAATACTTTGCTTTTTTGAAGGACCATTTTATAAATTCACAGCTATACGTCCATCCGCATCCACATACTAATTCATATTTAGAGCGTGTTGACAGAACATGTGATATGTGATATTGGTGTAATGGAATGCAGTACTGGCGTAATACTATGTAAAACTAGTGTAATACAATGTTATACTGGTGTAATACTATGGGATACTGGGGTAATGCAATCCTTACTGGTGTAATGCTATGTGATATTGGTGTAATGGAATGCAGTACTGGCGTAATACTATGTGATACTGGTGTAATACAATGCTATACTGGTGTAATACTATGTGATACTGGTGTAATGCAATGCTGTATTGGTTAACACTATGTGATATTGGTGTAATGCAATGCAGTACTGGTGTAATACTATGTAAAACTAGTGTAATACAATGCTATACTGGTGTAATACTATGTGATAATGGTGTAATGCAATGCTATATTGGTGTAACACTATGTGATACTAGTGTAATACAATGCTGTACTGGTGTAATACTATGTGATACTGATGTAATGCAATGCTATATTGGTGTAATACTATGTGATACTAGTTTAATACAATGCTATACTGGTGTAATGCTATGTGATACTGGTGTAATGCAATGCAGTACTGGTGTAATACTATGTGATACTGGTGTAATGCAATGCTACATTGGTGTAACACTATGTGATACTGGTGTAATACATTGTTATACTGGTGTTATTCATTGTTATACTGGTGTAGTACATTGTTATACTGGTGTAATACATTGTTATACTGGTGTAGTACATTGTTATACTGGTGTAATTCATTGTTATACTGGTGTAATTCATTGTTATACTGGTGTAATACTATGTGATACTAGTGTAATACAATGCTATACTGGTGTAATACATTGTTATACTGGTGTAATTCATTGTGATACTGGTGTAATACATTGTTATACTGGTGTAATACATTGTTATACTGGTGTAATACATTGTTATACAGAATGTACTAGTGTAATACACTGTAATACCTTGTTTTTTTGAAGGACCATTTTATAAATTCACAGCTATACGTCCATCCGCATCCACATACTCATTCATATTTAGAGCGTGTTGACAGAACATACTTTTTGTTTTGTTTGTTTTTATTATGGGTTGTCACAACGTCGTACAAATGGTGCTGTTTTTTGTTTGTTTGTTTTTAAGATTGAATCCTGTCTGTTGAGGTTTATAGGGTATACAGTTACACAGTTAATTAAATTTGTATAAAGACCCGTCAAGTTTTTATACCTCCTTAGATCTCAAATCAACAGGATCCAATCATTTTTTATACATTTTTTGCCATTTTGATAAAAAAAACCAAGTATAATTTATACAATATCGAACTTCATGTAACTTTAAGTAGGTATATTGAGTCTAAGTCAAGTTGAAATGTAAATAACATTGCATAAGTGTAGATCGTACTGTTACGTATGTGATTTTTTTTATGAAATTCGTTCCCTTTCCGGTATTTTACATGTAATAAAAAATCTCATATCAAATGGATAAGTTGACTCCATAAAATGAGCGTTGATTCTGCGAAAGGACATGTCTATTTGATATTAAATGTCTTTGCTGTAACCAAAATATTACACATTGTAGTATAATTTTTCTGGTTCCAGAAACTATATAGCAAGATAAGTATATATAGTACCCGAGAGGCTCGGCACAAATAGATAAAAGTGACATATGGATTGCGATGAAGTATCGCGTGCTAGAAAAGAAATTAATTTTATTCTGAATCGTAAACTTACTTACCAGTTTCTCCGTGGCGACCTAAGGTTTCATCAGTCTGAAATGCAGGGTTTAATTTTGGTATGATTTCAAAGTGTGATATATAACGCGCGTCGTGACGACACGCGGTCTTTAATTTTACAAGTTGGATTATGGGAGAAACAGAATTATCGACTCGTGATATTTGGTTTTGATTTTTGTCCATTCTCGCAATTTAATTCGTTCTTCCTCGAGGAAGTTCGTAGATCAAACTTAAAAATAACTCGAATGGATATAAGTCATAATCTTTGCCTTTTTTTTATTTATCTCTTAACACATTAGACTCCTAACAGTCTGTCTTTGTTATTTTCCTGGCATTATTTTCAGCTTTCGTAATAGATTTGTTCTTTGTATACAACAATTTACACTCAAATATCAATCTGTAGATGAGATGCTCAGCCCTAAGTTATTTCCGGAAGCCTAGGGCATGTTCGTTTATGCTGAACAACCGGTTCGTGTGTTTTTAAATGTACCATTTTTTGGTATAAATCCTGTCGGACCTGCAAAAGTTTATGCAGGCCTTACAAGGCTTTGTGAAGAATCGCCTGAAAGCAGCATCAGATTACTAAGTCCGACGTTATTTCATAATTAACGAACCATATTAAGTCTGGTCCAACCGGTTCAACCATTTGGATGGCGATAAACGACTTCCTATTCCGGAATCCGGCATACCATTTTCTATTTATACACCCTGAAAATCCTCGACTTTTAACCATCACGTTAGATATTATACGTTTCTTATGGTAAAATTATTACCGAAAATAAGAAGGAAAACTTCTTTTTGTAGAAGAAGCGTCCAAAAGCTACGTAGATTAACTACATGCAAAGATTTTTTTTGAGTACTGCTTTGAACGTTTACAATGAATGCTTTTTCAGTGTGTTTACTCAAGTTCTTTGAACATATTGTTCGGACGATATTTTAAGTTTTCTTATACTTATATTTCCCCCATATTTTTATACAGTTAGCTAAAATAATGTTTTAATAATATATTTTATAAAACTATAGATATTGTTGCCTTCATATCGACGCTTCGGAAAAGATTAAAACAAAGATTCCAGACTAATTTACGCGTTTGTTATATTTGTTTTTTTATTGTTTAATTCATTTTTCTGGATTATGTAATGCCATAGTTTCATTTTTTTTTTTCATAAACGTTATATTGCACCGTGCTATGTAAATTCACAGACGGTTTCCAAGAGTCATCGAATCGTGACAGTTCATAAAGAGTGACCTTTGTGCACTTATCTCTGCCACGATATCTTCCTGTACAGCCTTCGTGTATTGGTGAACAATGCTAATGACGCGCTCGGTGATTTAACAGAAAAGTATGGTTCCTTATTCAAACCGTCTTGACCTTTGACAGTCAACCATCGCAATTCATCTGGAGACTCAGGCGCGTAGCTGCCTATACGCTGGTATATTTTGTACGCAGGTGAATCTTCTAATTTTTCAAACAGAAAACAAACCTAAAACCATTTCTTGTTGTAACCCTTGTCCTCCGATACTACCAAGGCCTTGTCAGGACCCGCTCCCTAACGTATCCACATGGGAGTTGGTTCAT